ACTGGAATGCGAGGATGGTGAGGATTGCCTCACATGAGCCTCTTATCTGAGAGATTTGTGATAAGACTGAAGAAATTCGTGTGATACAAGAAGAATTTCCCTCTTATGTTGAGGAAGCCAGAGATGTACAAGAGGTACAACACGCAGGATGAATTATGAGAAGGAAATGATGTAAGCAGGCCAGACTGTTCGGAAGTCTGCCTGCTTGCTTGAGTGCGTCCTAATTTGTTCTTTGAAGGATTTTGTTGACATCAATACGACACTGGCTTTACAAGCGCTTGACTGGGAACATGATTCTGTTGACTGTAGGGCAAAGTAACAAAACCCAAGGTTTCACAGACCTTCACATTGTGCCATCCCTATTTTTTTTTACCTTTTGCTGATGTTGAGTTGGGCAAGAACGAGGGAGGACTTTGACAAAAGCTTTTCAATCTATCAGTTACTTGTAATTTCCCTCAGGCAGCTTTTGCTGAAGGTAGCAGCCTCTGCCCCTCTTTCCATGCCAGAGGATACACTGTGACATTGAAACAGCTCATTTGCCTCTTACCGGACGCCCTCTGTTTGCCCAGCAGTGAACTTCTTTCCATAGTGCCTTTCCCCTGGTCTTAGGATTCAGCCCAAATGCTGCTTACCCTGCTCAGCATTGCCTGATAGAAAACCAGGTGCCACATCTCCCCTTGCCTGGTCCACGGACTGCAGTGAAAGCTGTTCCAAGACTGGGGCTGTGAGAGAAGGACCACAAACCCACCAGTCTGAGGGCAACACAGAGCCAGAGACTCTCTCTGGCCAGAAGGTCACCAAAGTAAACCCTGGTGCCTCAGGAAGAGGTTATCTGTGCTATTCTGTTGGTTTATTATGAGCCTGTGCTATGGCAGATGTTGCCTTTCAGACAAGATTTATTTATTATTTTAATTGAAAGTCTTTGTCCTTCAAGAGGAGCTCAGAACATGTTTTTAAAGAGTAGCCCTGGGTTATATTATCAGAGACAAGGGCCAGTAGAAGTAGCATAATGGGGATCAGAGCAACTTGCTTATTTCCAGAACAATGGCCATTGTTCTGGTGTAGCTGAGGGCAGTTTGGGCCCTTAGCAATTCCTGTTTTTTTTTTTTTACTAAACCAGGAGGAAGAAAAATAGAACCTGACTCCTAGCTGGGCAGAGCTGCAGCAGCTTTTGTATGGCGAGTGTGACTGAAATGTGGTAAAAACACAATCCAGTCTCAAGCAAGCAGAGAGGATGAATAAGGAAGTGTTAGTGGAATCGTGCTTTTTTGGCCTGAGTTACCTGATCAAGATTGGCCCGACTCTGAGCAGGCGGCCAGACCAGATGTCCTCAGGGGTCCCTTCCGACCTAAATTATCCTGCGATACTGAAGAATAACAGGCCTGTTGGCCTGCAGGAAAACCACTCCCAAACTTCTATAAACACTGAGAATCAGATTCACGCTCTGTCTGCTTTCTTACATTATAAGCCCAGTACTTGATGTGGCTTTTTGGTTTTATTTTCCAGCAGCCCACATGGCAGCCCAGGGCTCCCGGCAGCCCTCCCAGCCCTGTTGCTCAGCCAGTTCCTCCCACCCTGCAGCCGTGCTTCTGCACGTCCTCTCCGATGGCAACACCCTCAGCAGGAGATCTTTCCAGGCCTCCCTGTTGGTGCTGGAAGGGAAGAGAGTGAAAAGCAAGATCTGATTTTTTCTCAGCAGGGCTGAGTGTGGAAGGAATGCTGCTTCTGCTCTTCCAGAGGAAGTGAAATGCAGAAACTGGCCCCGTTCCTTCTTTGGGGCACCTTCCCAGGTGCTATCTGAAAGTAGAGACACACTGAGAACAAGTTGGTCTGCAAGTCATTTTCTGCTTAATGGAAGGGATGGGGCAGACGTGAGAGGATCACAGAACAATAGGATGGCTTGAGTTGAAGAGGACCACAAAGACCATTCAGTTCCAACCCTCTGCCATGGGCAGGGCTGCCACCCACCAGCTCAGGCTGCCCAGGGCCCCATCCAATCTGATCTTGAACACCTCCGGGGATGGGGACATCCACAACCTCTCTGGGCAGCAGTGCCAGTGCTTCACTGCCCTAGAGGGTGCTAGCACACCCAGCCTGCAGACGTCTTCAGGGAATACAGCTTGAAAACCATCAGTGCTGGCCATGGAGGGCTGGGGGGGTACCCAGACTGCTTGAGGGGGTAGAGCGTGGAGATGATCCTCCATATTCCACAGATTCTCCTTTGTGGGGACAAGCTTGCTTCACAGAGATCCATACTTTAGCTGAGCCAGGCTGGAGAAGGGTGGCAGGAATTTTCCAGCTGCTCACACTCATCTCTAATTTTCTCCCACCGATGCTCTGGCAGAGCTGAGGTCTGTTGATGTTTTAGAAGTTCTTGGAGTTAGTTTCTTCTCCCAGGGTGTTCTAGATGTATACAACATGCTGTGAATATGCTCCCTTGAAACCTGCTGGATTGGCTGCATTTTGTATGTAGGAATGTACATATAAAGTTACAGCTAAGTAGGGAGAAGAGAGAACACTGCTGTAAACCCAAGGTGTGCCCTCTCCTGTAGCTTTATTTGGGAATCAGGAAGCTGCCAGCCTCAGCCCTGTTCTGTAATGGTAGCTTTGCTACTAGTTACACACAATCTGGACCAGGCCCAGGTCCTCTTTCTCCCTCTCTCTTTTCTTAATTGCTCTTTCCATAATTACCACTATTGTTGTGTGGTGTTGGCTGTTGGTCCTTTTTTTTTTTTTTTTTTTCTTTTCCCTTGTGAAAGTTTTCATTGCTTGAGTGCAAAAGCTATGATGCAAATGAGTCACTCCCAGAGAGTGCCCCTGGGCTGGGGTGCGACTGCTCTGAGATGGGGCATGCTGTAAAATAAGAAGGCTTAGGGGGCTCCTTCCAGACCAGCTATCATCCGAAAAGATGCTGTGCCATCGCCATGGTGCTTTCTCTCCCCATCTGAAAGACCTGGGCAAAGAAGGAAAATGGCCCTGGGGAGGAAACTCGGCAATTGCACGGTGCTGACAAATGTCCAGAGAAAACAAACCACAAATGTGCGGAGAAAACAGGGAGGCCTGAGCCTTCCACTTTGTTTTTCACTTGTGGGGATCTCAGGTGTCACCTACAGAGACCAGACGTCTGCAGAAAACATTTTATTTTTAGCTAAAGCAATGTACCTTGTGGCTAATTAGCTGTTTTAAGTAAACAGCACTGGAAAGGGGTGAGGTTACTTATGCGTTCAGTGAGACACAGGCAGCCTGCTCCAGCATCCCCACGGCCCCAGCCTCAGCCTTGGGCAGAGGGGACGTGGATGCCACCACACCAGGTGCTGCACTGAGCTCGGCTAACTATCAGCAGATGTCATTTGAGAATGTAACAAAGTGATATTCCTGCAACCTTTATCATATATCTCCCCTTTCCTCTTACTCAAGTCAAGCAATGGCACTAAGCCAAACTGAGTACGAGGGATGTTTTTCCAAATCCAAAATGGAACCCTGATTCAAGTGATAGATAAATATTTATCTTTATTAATTGTGTACTCATATTCATCTTCATTTTCTTATAAGTACGTGGAACAGAGTATGTGCACAGAGTGATCATGGAAATTGCTTCACCTTGACTCTTTCTGCAAAGGATGACCCAAAGGGCTGCTGTGAGGTTAGAACTGAACCAGAAATCCCCAGAAAAGCCATTCAGCACCAAGTTTATATTTCTGTAGTACTGAGGCTGAATTTGGCATGGGCTTGGCAGTGGTTTGCAAATGAATAATTTGCATGTAAGTTCCCCGAGGTACATAGTCAAATGTTTGCTCTTTATCGCTTTCTATTCCCATTATTCTACAGAGGGACTCCAGGTACCTCAGGTACTTTGGGTATGAAAGAAAAAAAGAGATGGATATTAAGGCATGCTTCATTGGTTGCAAGTGGATATCGAGCAGCAGAGAACTAGAATTGTTTATCTGAGAGAGGTTTTCTGGTGCTGTACCTGAGATTGTCATGAACATTAGGAAACATTATAGTTGCAATGATTTGCTTTGTCTAGTTCTACAGCAAAGAAGAGCATGTTTCACAGTGATTCACAAAAGATATTGTTTGTTCGCTTTACACCTCTGGCAGCCCTCTTGATTTTTTCACAGATTCCAAATATACCTTCAAAAAATACCTGCCTTTCAAAAAGAATCTAACTGTCTTTATAAACACATAGGCAGACTGTCCCACAACAGTTTTCCTTTCATCTGGGTGTTGCTGTAGAGAAAGAGGGATTATAATTTAGAGCTGTCACCCACGGGACAAGAATAACTCCTTACTACAGCCAACCAATGAACCTTTCTGAGCCTTATGCCTTGTTAGCTCAGCTTCTCTAGCCCAGCACTTTGGTACACCATACGTAGCCTATGCAGCAACTGCTGCAAGAGGAAAACCCTTGATGTCTTCAGTCCCAGGCCCTGTGCACTGCCATCAGCCATGGGAGGCTTTCTGCTGAGAGTTTCTGAAACTCTGCTTCCAAATACCTTCGGGCTCAGTTATCACAGGAATTACTGTGGTAAAAATGCCATCTGAGATGAAGTCACTGAAAAATAAAAAAGCTAGGGATGAGCAATGAGGAGACAGAAGCCAGACTCCAGGCATTGGAGATGGCCCCTGAGCCCATTCCCCTGGCTGCTGGGCCATGGCTGCGGAGCACCTGTGGGGCTGCAGGCTGTCGCAGCCCAGAACCTGTGTTGGCTGCAGGGCTCAAGGAGCCTCCTTCCCTCAGCCTGCAAGCGTCCCTGGCTGCGTTTCTCATGACCCTCTTCACTTACTGTGGTTCAAAGTTTGTTTCACAATAGGCTTGGAGGGAAGACAGAGCAGAGAAGCATTGTTTGGTAAAAAACATCAGAAGCAAAGCACTACAGGGAGCCCCCAGGCCGGTGTTGCTGGCCTGGAGCCTTGTCACAAGTGAGATCACAGGTGTGCATCATGTGAGAAGATGGCAAGGAAGGGGAAATCCTACTAGAGAACAGATTAAAGGAAGCTGAGGAGAGCAGCTGATCTTGTTTGCTGCTGGCCATGTCCTGTGCTGTTGGTGCTGCTCAGTGGCATTTTCTCACTTGCCATGTGTCACCTCCAAACTCCATTTTACAGTGTTGGATGTAGTGCTCCACAAGTATCATCTTTCTGCAGTGGATCTGCTGCAAACGTGAGGGTGTGAAGTTTGCTGCTGCTTCCTGAATGGAGAGTTGATGAAGGAGATGACTTTGCACTGTGTGGTTTGATGTGGGGTAGCTGCATGGGGTTATTGCTCCCATTCTACCAAGAAAAAAAGACAACAGAGAGAGCAGACTGGTTAGGAGAAAAGCATAATGAACGCAGGATGACTTTCTGTGGACACCAAAAATCTGCAGCTCAGCTGTTTATCCCTAACCTCCCAAGGCAGCCCGTGGACACTAGGTGATGCTACAAGAGCCATGTGTCCTGAAGTCTGCTGTTAACAGATAAGAATTAGTACTCCCATTTTTAAGAGCTCTTATATCCTATTTGTTGACAACGAGGGTGAGATTCCTTCAATCCTATAGGTTTGCATTTTCTCATCTCTATACCTCATTGTGGCCTCATATCTGAGCACTGATTCTAAATACATCTTGCTGTCAGCAGTCAGATATCACTGTGACCTGTCTCGCTACTGAAAAAATGATTTATGCTAAAAACATGAGAGGTGGAGTGGCCACGAGAGTCACATTTGAAAGTGAAAACTAGGGGTGAAGCATCTCATTTCAGCACTTGGAATTGTGATGGTGAATTTTGCTGTTGGCCTTAACGTGGGAGGACTGCATCTTCCTTTGTTAGAAAGTGGATTTAAAGCAGTCTTTGTCTGTATAAATGTACATAAATGCGTGGTTGTATTTTTTTCCCTGCTCACTTCAGTCACCTCTCTCAGCTGACTCCAGCTCCTGCTGCAGCTCTGTTGCCATGTGTTCTGCACATGGACATCTTAATGGGACAGTCTGGTTCCATGTGTCTGCTTTTATATTTTACATCCCCACCTTTTCCCAGCAGCTGTATTTACTTTTCCAACATCACTACTCACTTTACAACCATGTCATGTTGCATCGCAGTTCTATGTTACCCTCTGAAGCAGATTGTGATGCAGTGCTATGAAACAGAGCTGCAAGGGTCCCTGGAAGGTGACACAGTTCCCATCCTCCAGACTCATGGCAGGATCTGCTGTTCAAGAAATTCAGCCTTTTCTTATAGCTCTCTACCTATTCCTTAAAGTCTTTAGCAGCTTTATTTTCTGGTGTACTTGAGTGGTTAGCTGTGCTGGCCATTGGTAGGTCCTTCAGCAGTATAGGAAACAGTTTATTGCCTTGTGCTCTGCAGTGAACTTTTATATATTTGAGGTCTGCTACTGCATTTCACTTCAGCTTTTCCTTCTCTAGACTAAACAAGACCAGTTCTCCCAGTCTCCCCTCAAAGGTCAGGCAGGCTTTCTAAACCTCTGAGCCTCCTTGTTACTTCTCTTTGGACTCTTTCCAACTGCTGTTCATTTGGTTCCCAAAGCCAGAGCACTCCATCCCACAGCTAAGGGGAGCAGAATGTGGTGGCCTCGTGTCCCAGTGACACGGACATAAATGTACACTTCCAAGCATGGGATTCCTGGGAAAGGCCAGAAAGCAGCAGTGGGATTTAGCAGCATATCACATTTCTACCATCCGTTGCTCTCTATAGTTTTCTGACTTGCTGGAGCCTGCCAGGAAAGTCATCCCCAGCTCTGGGCAGAAAGGGGTTCCCCAGAAAGCAGCCTGAGGGGACCACTGCTCCAGCGCAGCTGCAGGTAAGGGAGCACTGCTGTTTTCATGCTTTGTTCTAGAAGATTGCAGACCTGCAATTACAGAGAGCATCAAAGCAAAGGGAAGGGATTTTAAGTGAAGCTGTTAAGCTGGAGCTAACTAATGAGAGGCCAGTGATTCTCTCTTGAGAAAAGACTTTCTGTGAGGGTGAGCTGGAAAGAGGCTAATCTCTGCACTTGTCTTCCTGCTGCCATCATGCTGCTGTTCCCTTTCACAGGACTTCACTGCACTTCCCTCCAAAGCCTGTCATGCTTGCTCTAAGGCCAGTTTTGTTGCACTTATATTTGGGCCACGCAGAAGAACTATGCCAGGACCATGAAGTGGGACATCCTTTCTGACAAAAAAAACAAAAGGTCTGAGCAAACAAGCCCATGAAGACTTACCCCTCAGTACAGGACAACTGGCAGGTACAGCACAAAAATGAGAAACCATAACCATGAGCAGCTGGAGGTACCTGTGCCCAAACCATAGGTTCCATAGGTCAGGTACCATGTGTCTGATTCGACCTCAGCATCCCTGTCCAGCACCAGCTCAGCAGCTGCCTGCGCTAAGCAGGCTTGGCTCACGTGATGCTCCTGTGCACACCTGAACAGTAAACACCTTCCTCTTCAGAGCAGAAGGGAGGAAGCAAAGGCAAGTAAGTATACAATAGTCACATATGGTCACAGAATGACACGCATTCCCAGTATGAAGAGGTTTTGTACATAAGAGTTTCATTTAGGCCCCTTCTCCCTTTCCCCTCAAACGCAGTGTCTGTGCCTTGTTTGTTCTTTTTTTGCCTTACTCCTGGCTATCCCTGGATGACCAGCATGGAGAACGTTATCCTGTGGAACTCCTTAAAATCACAAGTTGTACGCAATCTTTGGGCACTGGGCATCCCCTGCAACGAGCTGATCAAATTTAAGTGCTGAATCCCAGAGCAACAAGGTTTTTGAATTATCTGCAGAATACAAATGATGAAACTTGGCTGTGAGAGTTCTCAGAATAAAAGACTGCTTCCACACAGCCTCATGCATTGTTGTGCAGTGCCTCAGCCCAGCTGCTGGGCCTCCTTACAGAAGCTTATGCGTGTTCTTTTCAAGAAAGCAGGTATCTCCCCAGGGAAGCTCGTGACCTGTCGCTAATGTGCTAAGCACAAAGCAGAAGAGCAGCAGACGGTAACCAGAAAGGCCCTTGGCTCCTTCCTCTTCTAGTGTGCTGCAGGCAGGAGAAGTGGGATGTAGGGCCAGCTGTTCCCACGGTGGCTCTGCCTGCTGTCTGGGAAACGGCCCTCCCCCTTTGTTGGATGAGAAGGTCCTTGCTGGAGACCTGTTTGAATGATGCCCAAGGAAGTCAGCAGCAGTCTTGTACAGAGCAGAACTCCAGGGGACTAAAGGCAACTAAATGAGGAAAACCAGAGTACGGCTGTGGCTACAGGCATCTGGTCAGGAGCACCAGTTTCTCCTGTTCCTGTTGCTGCCGTGCAACCCCCTCCCTGTTGTGAGCTCTTCTGTTCCCTTTTGCAGGGCTGGTATTCCTCACAAGGGCGTAGTGTCAAGTGGATCCGGGAACAAGCCCGAGTTCAGAGCATTTATTTATTTTTCTGCCCCCAGCCGCTACCCGTAAGTTCACAAACTCTGGCCAAGAACACTTTCAGTTTTGTTACGGAGCCCTTGAAAAAAGTCAGGATAAAGAGTGAAAAATTAAAGTATTTCCCAAAAGCCCAGGAATTTTGGGAATTGAAGATCAGGAAGTAAGAAGGGGAGACGATTAGGAGAGGCTCTAATAATACCCAAGAAACACGCCAGTTCTTGATTTCTTTGCATTCTATTGCATTGACGCTGCACATTAAATCATCCATCCTTCACAAAGAAGCGACTGGTACACGTACAGGGCTGCAGGTGCTGGCGATCAGAAGCGTTTTTCTGCTGGTAGCACAGCAGAGCTGCAGGGAGGTCGCGCCGCACGTTTCGCAGCAAGCAGGCACGCTGTGACCGTGGGACAGCAGCTTTTAGCACAACCGCCAGGAACGCACGAGGTTCAGCAGCACAGAAGAGCGCTGTACGCCTCAGGATTTGGATCTCCGTGGTGCCGAGCATCCCGGGAACACGCTGCAAATCTCCGCTCACTGAGCGGCAGCTCTCGGCAATTCTGGGGAGGTGTGAAAAGTAACCCAACAACGTGCCCTTAAACCACGAGAGTGGGGGGAGCTCCACGGGGACGCCGTGAGGCCACCCGTGCCCCGGGGCAGAGGGCAGACCCGCTCCGGGTCCGGCCGAAGGCCAGCTGCTCTGGTCCCCCTGCTGCGGGTCCCGCTCCCGCCCAACGCCCGCGGCCGCCATTTCCCCCTCCGCCGCTCCGACGGACGCCGCCCCGCACCGCGCCCGGCGCGAACCGCTCCGCCGCCTTCCCTCGCGCCGAGCCCGCGGACACCGCCGCCGCGGGGGAGGCTGCCGGGGGCGGGGCGGGGCATCCTCAACCCGCCAATGGTAGCGGCAGCAGGCCGCGACGGATGGGTAAGACGAGCAATGAGCGAGGCGCCGTCGCCGGGAGACGGCCAATGAGAGTCGGGCGGGGGAGGGCGAGCGGCTCGGCTCGTCCCCGCGGCTGAAGCTGAGGGGAGGGAGCGGGCGCCGCCGCCGCCTGCTCGGGGTGAGCGGCCGCGGGCCGGGCACAGCGGGCAGCGCCGGGACGGGACGGGGAGAGCGCGTGCGTGCGGATAGCCGGACGGACAAACGGACAGATCAGACAAACAGGTGCCGCCATGGATCATCACTACGACCCGCAGCAGACCAACGATTACATGCAGCCGGAGGAGGACTGGGACCGGGACCTGCTCCTCGACCCGGCTTGGGAGAAGCAGCAGCGGAAGGTGCGCGGCGCGCGGGCCCCTTAGCGCGGCAGGGCGGGCAGGTGCCGAGCGGGGCCGCCCCGTGATCCCCCACCGCCCCCCGCCTCGGGCGGGCCGGGGCCGCAGGTGCGCCCTGGGGCGGCCCGGAACGGCCCGGGGCCGGGAAGGGCGGCGGCGGCGGGGCGGCCGCTCCCGGGCGGCTCCGGCGGCAGGAGGGTGCCTCGCCGCCCGTTTGAATGGTGTGGGGCAGGGCAGGGCTTGCGCGGAGCTCATGTCCAAAAATGGTAACATTCGGCCCTTTTTTTTTTTTTTAAACTTGCGGGTGGTGGCGGGGAGGGAGCTCGGCGGAGTTGCAGCCTCGCTCCTTTCGCTCGTAATTTTATCCTTCCCCCTCCTCTAAGCCCGAAGCATCCCGCGTTAGACCGCTCGGGAATATCCCGAGCCCCGAAACGTTTCCGCCGCAGCCGCTCCGTCGGGCAGCGGTCCAGCAGCACCGTACGCGGAACGGAGCTCGGCCGCGGCGGGGGCATCTGGGGCGGCCGCGCCCCCGCGCTGCTCCCGGCCGTCCGGGATCCAGGTGTGCGCCCCGAGTCCCGCACCGCCCCGCTGGGGGCACGGAGCGCTCGGGAGTGAGTGAAATACTACGGTGTACGGTGTGCTCCTGGAAGGAGCTGGGAGCGGGTGGAGAGGAGGGACTGCCGCCGAGAACGCTCTTATTCTCCGACACCTCGCCTTCCCATTCTACAGCACGCTCCTCGATTTTCAGACCGAGGATTTTCAGGTTCTCCTGGCTGTAGCCACCAAAACTGCTGCTGGAAAGGTTTTCCCTTGGAGCCCGATGAGTTAATTGAAGGGGAGAGACATAGAGCTACTGTCAGCGGTTTCCTCGCTTGGGGAGACTTGCACGGTGAGGGGAGACAGCAGAAGAATAAAACATATGAACGAGGGTGTTTAATGGAGAAAGAGCTCGTGGTGTGTGAGCTTACATTTCAACGACGAAGAAAGAGAGGAATGCAGTCTCCGTCGGGTGTAAGCACTGGGTGGCTCATCTGCCAACCCGGCTCTGCCCCTTTTGGGAAGGAAGTTCTTTCCTTTCCAAGAAAGCTGCCTGGCCACAGCCTGTATCTCTAGTCCTACCCATGACCTGTATCTCCAGCTGTTCCCGTGTCTGGCCCATATGCACCCGGGAGCAGCTCATAGGGCCTGGGTCAGGATGGGCGGTTGTTGATCACAGCTTGCGAGGGAAAATGGGTGTCATACGGTAGGGCTTTCCCCCTTCGTGGGGTGGTGAGAGTATTTTATGTGGAGAGGGACACTGATGTGAGAAGATTGTTGGAAGCAGGTGTCAAACCTCTGGTCCCAAAACACGAGTGGTACATGCCTCAAAGGCCGTGTTTTCCTTTAATTCCCTCCTTCCAGCAGATGTTCAGTCCTCTTGATCCTATCACAAGAGGGGGACAGAGAGCCACTGTATTAACTTGGGTTACTTATGCAGAGGAGAAAAGCCAGGGGAGACTTTGAAGGTATTCACATGTGTACTCTGAAATAATCCAAGTCAGTTTCTTTTGGTGGTCATCCGCTGCCAGTGAATGTGGTGGGCAGTGGGCAGTGTCCTTCTCTGGCTTGTTGAACGCTGTTTCTTTCGCAATGTGGTCACTGGGATGTTTCTCCCTTTTGAAGCTCTTCTGTGGTGGATGCAAATCTGTAGCTTGGTCATGGCCCATCCCTCCAGTGCCTTTGGGTAGGAAGGTGGGGACTGGCTGGACAGCACTTCCTTCTGAGGGGGCTGCAGCCTGGGCAGGCTGTGTAGGTGTTGAAGGTGTCCTGCTCCTCTCCTCTGAATGCAACTAAAAGCCCTGCTGGGGCCTTGGTGTTTGCCTCCTTCTGAGGATGGGGAGCTAACAGTACCTACCAGGTGCAGTGTAGTAACGCTTCTTGCCAACAAAACTAAATTGCTGCAGTAATTATGGTTACATGTTTGTTTCTGTGCTTGTGACGGATGCCTTACCAAAGGGAGCTGTAGAGATCTGTGCCTCCTAAGTGCTCCTGTTGGCTCTCTCTGGCTCAGTCTTGGGCTGTTCTAGGAGGCTGATGTGTTGTAGGTTCTTCCCCATCCAAGGAACAGTTAGAGAAATTCTAAAAGCCTGCCTGTCTGAATAAAAAGGCAGTGAGTTTCAAAAAGAAAATTGCTTTGTAAGAGTACTGAGATACTGTTTTGTGAGCTTAATTCTGCTGTTTATGAGTCTTGAACTTAGATGGAGTTTTTCTGCCCACGCAAATAGGTGTTTGGACAATAAGTTCTTAGAAATTGCTGTGCCTGTTTCAGCACTGCCATCAGTCAATGGCCTGTATAGATGGGAGAATGCTGATGTTTCACTGCCTGCATGCAGAAGACCCAGGACTTCCCTATGAGTGAGGCTCTGTTTCCAGTCTTAAAAATAGTAGACTCCAAAACTTCCATACTGGGAAAGAGATATGAGGAAATCTATCTGTGCAGGGATTTCAGTTCTCTCAAATTATTGTAATATTATGATTTCACCGATGCCACCCAGTGAGGCACTCTGAAACTTTGGTGCTTAGGAACTGTCTGAGAGCAAAGGTAGTATCTCCAAAGTGATGGCACTTCTGGTCAGCCAGAGAGCAGATGTCTGTGGGAAGCAGCTGAGCTTTGCTGCCTGTCTCAGTCCAGCCAGTCACGTCCCAGGTTGGTGAGGCCCTGCAGGCTGGGGATCGCTGCTGCTGTGCAACCCTGTCTGCCTTGTGCAGCTGGGATCAATTGAGCTTGGGAAGCAGACAGGCTGGGGATGTTGCTTGGAGAAGAATTGAATCCGTCTCCCTGTCCCTCAGCCTCACAGGCTCAGTGGAGCCTCATGGCAGGCCTCAGAAGCAGGCAGGAAGAACTGCTGATACGTGTTTTAGTAACGTGCTCAACAGGAACATTATGCTGCAAGGAGGATGAGTTTCTGAGCTCTCAGTAGCTTTGCTGCCTGCCCTAAGGGATGGGTACAGCAGCCTTGGCTGTCTGAGGTAGTGCTTGAAATACGGAGGGACAGCACAGGGGTGATGCTGGTGCTGCTGGGACCCAGTGTCTGGGGTTTCACAATGCTGGGGAGACTCCTGGTTCTGCTGTGCACTCGTTTTGTGGACTTAGCTGCTCAGGGTATACCCTGAGTAGGGTTTCTTTTAAAATGTGACCTGAAATGACATGCCCAAATTGCAGAGCTCAGGGGCAAAAATCCCCTTTAAATGCTGAATTGCTTTTTGACTTGACAGCTGCTGACTTGGCAATGTGAGTAGGAAGTAGTGTTTGTTTGCAGCATGTAGAAGACAGCCATATATGACTTCAGTGCTGTAAGGAATGGTGGGAATGCTTTTCTTTAAAATACCAGTGAAAGAAATGTGCCTTGTCTTTATTCAGTGCTGCTCTGCCTCTGCAGGTTGGTGCTTCTGAGCCGATGTATCAGTAAATGATATTGTTGCTTGAGAGAGCTGGAGCATTCAGTTTCGCACTGCTACTGAAGCAATGATAGCACAGTGTTTGGGAGCACCTCTCCTGCCCTCAAGGAGTGCTAAGTGTAGTTATTCATGCAATTGCTGGAATTCCCCAAAGCAGATGACTATTTTCCAAACCTCTCTGTGTGAGATACACCCAAAGATGCACATGAGAACAAAAACCTATGGCTCTCATGGCCCTGCTGTGCCTGCATCCAGCAGGTCTTGCTGCTCTTGTTATGATTTGAATTTTGCTGTGCTAATCACCTCAGTGTCTGGTTGTTAAGGATAGAAAATGCTCGTTAAACATAGCCCAGGTCCCTGGTGGAGCCACCCCACCTCCAGGCCTCCTCGTAACAGGCTCATACCAAGTGATATGAGTGTGACTAATAGCTGAAAAAACGTAGATGTTGCAGTTGCCTTGGTTTGAGTGTCCTCCCTTCCAGACGGCCTGCTTGGAGCAGGATGCCTGGATTTCTGGGCAGTTGTGGTTCTGCTGTGGACCCACATGGAGGTGTGGTACCGCACATTGTCTGTTGCTTGCTAATATCCCTTTCAGTCCCACCACAGTTTCAGCAGTGAAAAGATACATATTGTTGATGAATATACAGCTCTGATCCCTGGATTCCCTCTTCGTGAGTGATACTGATGATAACAGATGGGTCACGGCGAGAAGTGGACCTCTGGTCTCTGAGGTGTGGATGTGCTGGAGGAAGGCTAGCCCTGATGCACATAGGGATTCTCTGTGCCTTGTTTAGCACAGACCGATACCAGTGTGGAAGCAGAATGGCAGTGTGTTTAAGACTGCTCTCTCAGCTGCTGTTTTACAGTCATACAGGCAGGCAATATAGGTCACCAGATATCTGGTATCTTTCAGATCAAGCTTTTTGCTGTTTAACATAGGTAGCTTGTTGCCAAATACTTGCTTTTAAAACACTAAGCTCAGAATTTGCTGTAGGGGGTCTCTGGAAATATCTGGCTCTGTAGATCAGCTGCTTTGCCCTGAGTGTGGGAGCTGCCTCCTGCTCTCTGTGATCAG